GGCATAGTGTTCCGGGGTTTAAATAATGGGTTCGCGCGCGCTTGGAGGGTCACGTAAACTGCATTATTTTTTGGTTTGTTTTGTGTTATTGTGAAACACTATGGTGTCAGGAGTGGGATGGCTAGTCGGAAGAGGAAAACGCGCCTCCCAGTTAAGCGCACAGGGCTGCGGTCCCAGCAGCATGAGCTTCAAGTGGAGAAGACAGCAGAGGAGCTGGCATGGGACACAGTGCCGGCATCGTCTTCTTCAGCAGAGGAGGAGGAGGAGGTTTCCGGCAGGATTGGTCCAGAATTACCTACAACTTCGACCGCAGCACGTGACCCAAATGGAGAGCTGATTGCGATAATGAGGGACTTCCTGGCGGGACAGCAAAGGAGAGAGGAGGTTTTTTGGCAGAACTCAGGGGGCTGAGGACTGTTTCCCCTCCCAATGCGCAGCTGCACTCAGATTTTGCTGGTCAGCAAAGTCCAGTTCAAGCACCAGCCAGAGCAAGCACCACAGCAGCGGCCACACCAAGCACTGCAACAGCAAGCAGCCCCAGAATGGTACTGCCTACACCTGCACGTCAAAGAGGATACCGGGATCCCCCAGCAGAGGTTCCCTCTCGTCAGTCACAAGCAGTGACCAGCAGCCTCGACCAGTCAGGCTCAGAGGGGATGCGATCTGCTGGGCCAAAAATTCCACCCTATCAGATGGGGGAAGACATTGAGAACTATTTGTTGCGTTTTGAGCGAGTGGCCAGAACCTGGAGATGGCCAGAGAGTGAATGGGCCTGTCGTCTAGTTCCACTGCTATCAGGGAAGGCGTTGGAGGCCTACACTGCAATGGATGAAGAAAGAGCCCATCGTTATGAAGATTTAAAAGATGCTTTGCTAACCAAATTTGACATTTCCCCTGAAACGTATCGGCAGAGGTTCCGATCCAATACAGTTCCACCTGGTGAGAGCCCCACAGAGACCTATTATCGCCTGAAGGGCCTCTATCGGCGCTGGATCCGACCAGAGCAGCATACGAAAGAAGAGATGGGAGAAGCTATCATCTTGGAGCAGTTAATCCGCGTGCTTCCAGGGGAGGTGAGGACCTGGGTGAGGGAGCATGAGCCAGCAGATGGACTGACCGCCGCTAAGCTGGTATCACAGTACTTCAATGCGCGTAAAGGAGCACCACCTGCACGCTCATCTGGGACGCCACAGCGACCACCACTCCCATCATCGGGTCTTCTGAAGAGGGAGAGCAACCCAGAGCCACCTGAAAACCCTAAGGCATCCAACTTACGAGGGGCGGGTAAGGACTTTCTTTGTTATTATTGCCAGCAGCCAGGTCATAAAGCCTCGGTATGCCCTATCCGGAAGGCTAAAGTCACTGGTGCCTGCTATGCACCTCGGCTGGAGATGGAGCCCACAAGGGTCCCGCCAGTGGATGTGCAACGCTATAAAAAAGTGAAGGTCAATGGTCAGCAGGCTACTGCTTTGCTGGACACTGGAGTTTTATGTGTGCATGGTGATAAACATCCATACCCAAAAGTGGAGGTAACAGTGACTATTAATGAACAGCCATACCTGTTATCAGTGGGGGTGGTACAGAACTTGCCTGTAGAGGTTATTCTGGGGATGGACTTGCCTGTACTCATGGATTTGCTGCAAGAAAAAGAAGAACAGTGGACAGAGACTGAGATGGGGGATAAGGGGATTGCTAAATTAAATGTGTCTGGCCCAGTGGTCACTAGAGCCCAGGCGAAGGCTGGATGCCAACCCTTGCCAGACTTTGACAGTAGTCTGTGCGAGGGTGGCACTAAGGGGCCAAGAAAATCCCGCCGCCAACGCCGCTTTGAGAAGCAGCTATGGTCAAAGGGGCCGGACACTAAGAACATGAAATGGGATGTGCCAGAAAATATCACTTTGTTGCAAAGGGAGGATGAAACGTTGAAAGTTTTGTTTGCCAATGTGACTGAAGGGGGAACTGGGAAATGGGGAGGGAAAGAGAAGTTCATTGTTGACAAAAATGTGTTATATGCAGTTGACGGTAACCACCAACAGCTTGTGATACCTTCTAGTTGTAGACCCCTCATTATGCACCTAGCACATACCCTCCCCTGGGCAGGTCATTTGGGTCGCCAAAAAACCTATATGCGAGTTAGCTCACGTTTCTTTTGGCCGTCAATGTACACAGACATACAAAAATATTGCCGTACATGTCCTATCTGCCAGAAAACATGTCCAGCTCGCAAGTCTGACAGGGCACTGCTACAGCCACTTCCGGTCATCTCCACCCCCTTCCGTAGGATAGCTATGGACATTGTGGGTCCTCTGGTAAAAAGTAGTAGGGGTCATCAGTACATTTTGGTGGTGTGTGATTATGCGACTCGTTTCCCAGAAGCATTCCCCCTGCGTGCGCTCACAGCACCCAATGTTCTGCGTGCACTGGTACAGCTGTTCTCCCGGGTGGGGATACCAGATGAGATTTTGACCGACCAAGGGACTAACTTTACCTCTAGGTTGATGCAGCTCTTCCACAATCAGCTAGGCATCTCTGCCATCAGGACGTCACCTTACCATCCACAGACAGATGGGTTGGTGGAGAGGTTCAACCAAACTCTGAAGAGGATGTTGCAGAAGTTTGTGTCAGACACTGGGAAAGACTGGGACCAGTGGCTACCCTTCCTGCTGTTTGCGTACAGAGAAGTTCCCCAGGCTTCCACTGGTTTCTCACCATTCGAGCTACTCTATGGTTGGGATGTGCAGGGGCCGTTGGATCTCCTCCGGAAGGGTTGGGAGTCTCCTGCTTCTGCTTCAAAGGAGAAAGGAGTGGTGCAATTTGTGCTGGAAATGAGAGATCGGTTGGGGAGATACCATGAAGAGGCCGAGGTCAACCTGCGAGACGCTCAACGAAGCCAGAAGACCTGGTATGACCAACAGGCCCGGCAACGTGAATTTCAACCTGGTCAAAAGGTGTTGTTACTTCTCCCCTCAGCCAACAGTAAACTGCTGGCGAAATGGCAAGGGCCATACACAGTTCTTCGCAGAATGGGGCCAGTGACCTATGAGATTCATCATCCTGAAAAAAGGAAACAGAAGCAGACTTACCATGTGAATCTCCTGAAAGAATGGGAAGAGCGTCCCCACCAGGCCCCTGCGAAAGCGCTGATGGCAAGAGAAGTGCCAAGAGAAGGGAAGACAGAACCCGAGCAGGGAGCCGATCCAATGTCTCCGGTGCTGACTCATCTTACCCCACAGCAGGCGGCTGAGCTACTCCAAATCCTTCGGGAGACTCCATCTCTGTGTTCAGTTAACCCCGGCAGGACCACCCTTGTCGAACATGTGATACGCCTAAAGGATGGACATCCCATCCGCCAACGCCATACGGGTTCCACAACACTTAGTGGATAAACTGCGACAGGAGGTGGAGAGATGCTGGAGCTGGGAGTGATGAGCCGTCCTGCTCAGATGGTGTAGCCCGGTGGTCATATCTTCAAGAAAGATGGCTCCCTACGATCTGCATTGATTCCGGAAGCTAATTCCATTTCGAGTTTGATGCCTACCCCATGCCCGAATCGAGGATTCTGGAGAAGATCGGAGCGCCAGGTACATCACCACCTTGGACTGTGCAAAGGTTACTGGCAAGTGCCACTGGAGGAGTCTCTCGACACGTACACCGCCTTCAGGACACCTGCCGGCCTGTTCCAGTTCACGGTGATGCCATTTGGCCTACATGGGGCACCGGCCACCTTCCAAAGGCTGATGGACAAGTTGCTACAGGGGTGTGACCCCTATAGTGCCGCCTACCTGGATGATGTAGTGATCTTCAGCAACACCTGGGAGGAGCATCTGCAGCACCTGTCCGAAGTCCTGGGAAGAATCCATAAGGCGGGGTTGACCCTTAACCCCTCTAAATGTGAGTGGGCACGGCAGGAGACCCACTACCTTGGCTACCAAGTGGGCAGAGGTGAGGTGCGCCCGCAGATGGATAAAGTGGAAGCTATCCAGAACTGCCCTCGGCCACGCACCAAAAAGGAAGTCCGGTCTTTCCTGGGGTTGGTTGGCTGGTACCGAAGATTTGTGCCCCAGTTTGCAACTATTGCGGCTCTCCTTACTGCATTGACCAGCAAGAACCAACGGAATCCGGTCATATGGACAGCGGAATGTGAACAAGCCTTCCAAGGGCTGAAAACCTGCCTGTGTACGACCCCAGTTCTCAGGAGCCCAGACTTCAAGAAGAGATTTCTGGTCCAGGTGGATGCCTCCAAAAGCGGCCTGGGAGCAGTGTTGGCCCAAGGGGACCCTGGAGATGAGCATCCGGACCTATACCTAAGCCGCAAGCTGCTGCCCCGGGAGACCAACTACTCAACGGTGGAGAAGGAGGCCTTGGCCATTAAGTGGGCACTGGAGAAACTCAGGTATTATTTACTTGGAAGAGAGTTTGAGCTGGAAACTGATCATCGAGCGCTCACCTGGATCCATTCCATGAAGGACCATAACAGCCGACTGACACGCTGGTACCTTTCACTGCAGCCTTTCAGATTCATCATCCGTCACAGACCAGGCAAGCTCAATGTAGTGGCAGATTATCTCTCCAGGTTGCCGCACAACGCCAACCTCCGGGTGGAAGGGGATGATGTGACGGAGTTACACCGTCCCGAGCTGCAGACAGCTGATCTGGGCGCATACACGCACCACCATTAGTTTCTACAATCACCGTGGCCGCGCGTCTTTTCGTCGACCAGGCAGATAAACAGTTGCTGTGATCGCCGATTATGCGGGGTTATGCAAGCCGATGGCATAGTGTTCCGGGGTTTAAATAATGGGTTCGCGCGCGCTTAGAGGGTCACGTGAACTGCATTATTTTTTTTGTTTGTTTTGTGTTATTGTGAAACACTGTAGGCTGCCTGGAAATGGCCATAAATGTCTGTATATACATATATGTATTGTAGGAATACAGCAGGAAATAAGCTGAGGGGGAAAGACTGTTTGATAAAAGAAATAATAAAGAGATGACTATTACGCCTAGTGGGAGGGGCTATGGGGTATAAGAGAAGGCGGTCAGGGCCTACCTGTGTTTTTTTTCTCTCCAGAGAGCTGTTACAGAGAGGGTAACATGCAGACTGTGTTTTGTATATAGATGTTTGTTTGTGATGACTTAAGTCAGTTCTATTTTCTTTGTAAATAACTTTTGTGCACCTGGGAGGCCGGCAGAATAAATAAATAAATTATCTACACTGAATGCTTTCCGACTACGCCTGTATTTGTTCGGGAGAAGTTTAGGAGAGGACCCCGCGACACAACGTCACAGATAAACAGTTAAAAATATAAACTCAAGAACTGAAGAAAAATCGTCCTGATTTTAAACATCCGCATCAAGATAAACTTGCAGATTTACGAGTCAAAATGTGTCAAAAAGTCTGTATCCTTACCTGAGAGTTTCAACTTTACAGTTCGTGATTGGTCTGTGGGCTACTTCCTGTCCCTCCGGAAGTCCACTATCAACTCCTTTGTCTTTGCGACGTTGAGGGTGAGATGGTTGTCTTGACACCAGTGGGTCAGGGCGCTGACCTCCTCCCTGTAAGCCGTCTCATCACCATTGGTGATAAGACCCACCACTGTAGTGTCGTCCGCAAACTTCACAATGATGTTGGAGTTGTTAGTGGCTGTGCAGTCGTAGGTGTAGAGTGAGTACAGGAGAGGGCTCAGTACACACCCCTGTGGAGCACCAGTGTTCAGTGTGATGGGGGATGAGGTGATGCTGCCCAGTCTGACCACTTGGCGTCTGTCAGACAGGAAGCTAAGGATCCAGCTGCAGAGGGAGCTGCTCAGTCCTAGATCCTGCAGTTTCCTGTCCAGCTTCGAGGGAACGATGGTATTGAATGCTGAGCTGTAATCTACAAACAGCATTCTCACATACGTGTCTCTCTTCTCCAGGTGTGACAGGGCAGTATGTAGTGTCAGGGCTATGGCATCATCAGTGGACCTGTTGTGGCGGTATGCGAACTGTAGAGGGTCCAGTGAGTCGGGTAGTGCAGAGCAGATGAAGTCCCTGACCAGCTTCTCGAAGCATTTGCTTACGATGGGGGTCAGGGCTACAGGTCGCCAGTCGTTCAATGAGGAGATGGTGGAGGATTTGGGTACAGGGACGATGGTGGCCATTTTGAAGCAGGCTGGGACTACAGACAGAGAGAGGGAAAGGTTGAAGATGTGCGTGAACACTCCAGCCAGCTGAGCCGCGCATGACTTGAGGACGCGGCCGGGAATCCCGTCCGGACCAGTAGCTTTGCGCGCGTTCACCTTCCTGAAGCACTTCCGCACATCCTCCTCAGACACAGTGTGCGCACTGACGTCATCCGCGGTGCGCACACTGTCCGGTCTCATGGTGTTCGCTGTGTCGAATCTAGCGTAGAATACGTTTAGATCCTCACACAGAGAGGCCGTGGTCTGCGGTGTGCTGGTTTTCCCTCTAAAGTCTGTGATCGTGTTTAGTCCCTGCCACATACTCCGAGGGTTGTCAAACTGTTGCTCCACCCTGTCCCTGTACTCACGTTTGGCTGCTTTGATCGTCTTCCGGAGTTGGTAATGTGCGTGTTTGTAGTCCGATGTGTTCGCGGAGGCAAAGGCGGTGCTCCGTGCCGCCAGTGCCGCGCGAACATCTCCGTTAATCCAGGGTTTTTGATTTGGGAAGGATTTAACTGTTCTGGATGGGACGACATCTTCCACGCATTTCCTGATAAATCCGCAGACTGAGTCTGTGTACTCATCAATGTCCCTAGCAGCCACGTGAAACATTTCCCAGTCCGCGTGATCAAAACAGTCCCGCAGCGCAGACTCCGATTGGTCCGTCCAACAGTGCACCGCCCTCCGGGTTGGAGCTTCCTGTTTCAGCTTCTGCCTGTAGGCGGGCAGGAGCAGGATGGAGCGGTGATCTGATTGGCCGAATGGGGCGCGGGGGAGGGCTTTGTACGCATCCCGGAAAGAGGTGTAGCAGTGGTCGAGTAGCCGGTCTCCACGAGTGTTAAAATGGATGTGTTGGTGGAGTTTGGGTGAGACTTTCTTCAGGTTTCCCTTATTAAAGTCTCCGGCTGTGATAAACGCTGCCTCTGGGTGTGCGGTTTCCTCGCTGCTGATCGCGCTGTACAGTTCCCTGAGTGCTCGGTCAGTGTCGGCTTGTGGGGGAATGTAAACAGCCGTAATAATCACTGCTGTAAATTCCCTCGGTAGCCAGAATGGCCGGCACTTAATCATCAGGTACTCCAGGTCCGGTGAGCAGAAGGATTTGACCGGGTGCACGTTCGCATAATCACACCAGCTGTTGTTGATCATGAAACACACACCACCGCCTCTGCTTTTCCCAGTAAGATCCTGTGACCTGTCCGCGCGGTGCACGGAGAACCCCGGTAGTTGTATTGCGGAGTCCGGTACCTTGTCCGATAGCCAGGTTTCTGTGAGGCAGATCACGCAGCAGTCCCGCATCTCTCGCTGGAATGAGATCCGTGCCCGAAGCTCGCACAGCTTGTTCTCCAGAGACTGCACATTAGCCAGTAATAAACTGGGTAACGGTGGTCTGTTAGTGCGCCGTCTCAGTCGAACCAGAACGCCAGATCTTCTCCCTCTGCGTCGGCGTTTGCGGCCTCCAGGGCCAGAGAACAAAGGCGTCTCAGGTGAGATGAATGGGGGGTCTGCAAACGGAGCGTCCGTGTTGCAAAACTTGAACT